CTTAAATGATAACCTAGAAAGTCTATGACTCTAAAGGTGACCACACGGCTATGGACATCAGGCAGTCACTGGGCCGATGTGAATGATATATTTCATGGCCTAACTGTGTATCTGCCATCACAATCGATGATACTACTTAATTTGGATGTTAGTAGTGTTTTGCGACAATCAGTAATTCTTGGAAAAACAGGTCAATACAATCACTTTATTTAGCTTTCACTTTGGCCGGCTGTAATAAGTGCTGCTAATTGAGCTTTTCGCTTTTGCCCAATTTTTAATTGCCCTATTGTGCTTCTTCGCGGATGCGCGAGGTGGAAGCACGACCATTCAATGACCAAAAAGTGCACCTCAACAAGAGCGGTATCCACCAGAGGTCGCATAAAGTGACGAAGGACGCAAAGTTTGTCGAGGCGGAAATTGCACTTCTCAAATGTATTCACCCAATTTCGTGTAAGCTGATGAAGGATTGGTAGTACAATTTTCCCACAATGATATGAGTTGAGCTGACGTTTCCATTCAATTTCACATAGCGTTGCTTTCCTAAAAGTTGTTCTCATTCAGGTGAGATTGTCGATGAAGCAAACAATATCTGCTATAACAATCGAACACTATACTTTATTTTTCGAATTAAGTACTGTTTTCGAGTCTACCAGTAAATCAGTAGTATGACATGTATTCACCCAATTTCGTGTAAGCTGATGAAGGATTGGTAGTACAATTTTCCCACAATGATATGAGTTGAGCTGACGTTTCCATTTAATTTCACATAGCCTTGTTTTCCCAGAAGTTGTTCTCATCCAGGCTGGACTGCAGTCCAGTATTGAAAATTCTACTACCAGTCCTTCATCAGCTTAGACGAAATTGGGTGAATGCATGTCATACTACTGATTTACTGGTAGTCTCGAAACAATACTGGACTGCAGTCCACCCAAGATGAAAACAACTTTTGGTAAAACAAGGCAATGTGAAATTCAACTCATATGATTGTGGGAAAATTCTTCTTCTACCAGTCCTTCATCAGCTTAGACGAAATAGGGTGAATACATCTCATTGCAGTGATTTAGTGGTATTTGCGAAACCCTACTCACATACGAAATGAGAGTAGCAACACCGAGTGAGCTTGCTTTATATGTTTGCGGGGAGAATGCATCACCTCGTGCGACCTTGTGTTGTCGGCGTGACTACTTTTTTGCTCGAGTTTCCGCCCAAACCGGTCAGGCGACAAAGAAGGAGTGGACGCGCCTTTTTCTGTATCAAACTCAACTCGCAGCGAGCAGATTGAGGCAGCCAAAGTAATCTTTGATCTTGCCAGCCAGGCTCAGAAACGCACCTTGTCACGTCTGCAAGCGCCTAGTTGCGTTGGTCTGCGCGACAACGTAGACGATCTCATCGCCTACCACACCGCCTCAAAGTCTGTCTGCGAGGCACCCTGGCCTGGTCTGAGAGCCAATCAGATGGCCGCGATTCTGACCAATCCGAGCTGGGCCTGCCGTGCCCTGCCAGTGGAGGGAGCGACACCGCGGCGTCTGGTGTCCAGGCGACGAGGGCAGCAGCGCCACGACAGTCTGACTTTTGTCAAGACAGCCTCGCTCACTCGACCAGAGGCAACAACATGTCGTGTCCTTGTGTCTGTCTGTGTGTGTGTGTGCTGGAGGCATGTGCAGGCCGGCATAGCTTCACACTGGCACCGAACCGTCGGGATTAGGTTGTCTGGTGCTGCAGCGATCAAGTGGCCAACTTCACTCGTCGCCGGCTCGTGGGAGGATTGTTCATGTTGTCGGGTTGTTGATGGTGTTGGTGGTGTCGACGCTGTTGACGCTGTTGGCGGTGTTGACGCTGAAGAGGTCGACGGCGTGATCGTGTCGGTGCCCGTTTGTGCCGCGTGGCGTGTGGCGTGTGCGCATTGAGGGCCCGTTGGGTGTGTTTTTTGTGTCCGCCGGGTCGTGACGACCAGCTGGTTGGCAGACGAGACGATCGCGGTGTCTTGTTCTGTCGGGTTGAGTCAATTGTGTTGTGCTGTGCTGTGCTGTGCTGTGCTGTACAGTGTTGTATAGCGTCGTGTAGCGTCGTGTAGCGTCGGCTCATCTCGTCGTCTCGTCGTCAGCGGTCTCGTCTGCGTGCCGGCCAGCAACAAGAGTCGAACCCGGTCGAAAGCAGGCCAGGCCGCATGAGTCGGCCGGGAGGAGGCGAGGCGACCGGATCGGTGCACCCACCTCCCTGCTAGCACAGGCGGGACTGGCTGTCGAGGATGGGACAGAAATTGTCCTGCCTGGCACCGAACCGCGCGGTGAGTAGCAACTACCATTTTGGGCCCTTTTTTG